GAAACGAGCTGCGGACAAATCCAAACAATATATTTACATAAAAATTTATCGAATCCTATCGATTACGCGCGTGTGAGCGAATCCGCAATTGCGTTTGAAAAAAAGAAAAACAGACGCGCATTTAAATGTGTGGTTGTACAACGATGTTGGGTTTTTCGCGTTTTAATATCGAACCATGAAATATTGATGAAGCAATTTCACCGACGCGGCGTGAGTTATTGTGAAAAAATTTCACATAGTTTTCTACGGTCTTTAAGACAACGTGGATAAATCAAACGCGATAAATAAAGGCACCTTGCTGCGATGTGCGTTATTACAGTCTTAAATTATCGCTGAATCGATAGCTTCTTCACCTTTCGCGCGACGGTCTTCCTCTGATCCATAATGCCAGAGTGTGGCCCGTAAAGTAATGTTAAATCATTACCGCGTTAACGCAATGTTTTCCAAGCACCGGTTTGCTATTTGATAAAGATACACGTATCTCTCCTTTTATTGTATTGCAGATTTTTATTTATAAACACGAGCTATGCTAAAATAATTACTTCTTTTTTTTAATAAAAAAGACACAACACAACCGGGAAAATACGTAATTAAATATGTAATTAAAAAATATTTAAAATAATGTTACAATATTTCCATGTTCAAATTACATACATTGTGTGTTCATATTTGATACATATCGAGATCGGTAAAAAAAAAAAAAGAAGAAAATATCTGTAGTACAGCAGATTAAACCTGCTATTAGGTTGCATAACGGAGAAACCGGAACGTATTGCGACCTGAATTTCGAGACACATCTGGAAACACGGTTTACCAAGTTGTGCGTCCAGAATAAGAATAAAATTTGTGTAGATCGTAAATAATCCTTGCGGTCGCGATACATCACATACTTTACCACCGCGTAATGTTTCAAAAATCACTCTAGATAAAACCAACCGTATATCAGAATAGTCTCGAACTATGTGATCGATCATCATACATGCCTTGAATTTTAATGTAAACGTTCCGGTGTGTCTTGAAGGTAATCGAAGCGATATCTATCTCGCGCCAGTCTTCGTTTGTTCACGAGCCTGAAATAATATTTAAAGTACGCTCGACAAATTGATTGCATTAAATCCACTTTAAATAAAATCACAAGGATTTCGCTCTAACACTGAACCAACAGCGCGCGTTTATCGGAAAATAAAAAAAACTATTATTGATATCTAATTCGATATATCGACGAAAAAACTTTTTGTTTGCGATTTCAATATAATTCTCAACTTAAGCGAAATCAGTTTTAGTACTTTTTAGCTCCGTTATTGTAAGGAGAACTTTGATTAAATCTTTTATTCTGAACCGCTCTTAGCGTGTGTATTTACACATATGTATCCTCTCTCAAGTAGAATCAGTATATTGCATTGACAATCAGTAAATATTTACTGACTCAGATGAATCTGCGCGATTCTCTCGCGTGTCACGGCTGTCTCTCCTCCGGATGTTCCTTCTGTATAACTTCCGCTTCTTTCTCCAGAACGTCCAATTTGATCCGAATGACCGCCAGATCACGTTCCATTTCGCTTAGTTTGCGCCGCAGCGTAATCACGCTGAGAGTACATCGTCCAGTTTGGCGCGTTGCTTGCCTGCCACCGATATACGAGGTTTGTTGCGTTTTTGTAAAAGCGTTTTTGCTGTCTCGAATTGACATAAAATGCTTATCTCGAAGGGATATCGACATATATGCAAACACACACTAAGAGCGGTTCGGAACATAAGATATAAAAAAAAAGTCCTCTCTACATTATAGTTCTTAATCCGCTCATTGAGAGAATTTCAATGGAACTTTAAATCCATATGGATCATCCTAAAGTAAGTACGGTAGCTTTAAATTTAATAACTCGTTACTGCATAAAACGGAAATAGAATACGTAAGCGCGTTCCATTAGGAATTAGGAAGGAAGTTGTTCACTACATCTGCAGATGAAAAGAGCTGACCCTCAAGAGAACGACGTGTGATGCGTGTGTATCGGCCGTGTAATTAACGTGCCGTGTCGGCGTGCATCGCGCGCGCGCGCGCGCGGCACCACTACGCGTGTTGTGCGAATGCATTACGCAAGATTATAGAAAGCCCCGCGGTACACGTGAAAGTGTCCGCGCGCTATCTTATGCATTCCGACGGAATGCGGGCCTCTCGACGGATGCAAATCATGTCCGGAGTGTCATGTTCATTCGGGTCCAGTCGATTAAATTGTTTACGGAAACCGCGTGCGTCGTTTCGCGCATGCAATAATTATATATATATATGTTGTCATATCTCATATAAATGTGGCATTTCGCGTCACATAAATTATCGTTATGATTCAAAAAAATACCTATTGTTTCCCATTTTTGTCCCCGGCTTGTTTTACATATATGCGACCTCGAGAGAGAGAGAGAGAAAAAAAGTGTGTGTAATTATACTTCGCGGGGAGTAATAAAGCAACCACCGCAGAATTGCAACGCGACGTAATCTTTCAGCACATTGTCAACACGCGCACAATTGCCGAGTAATCCCGCATGATGAATACACATATCTCCTCCGTGTTTCTCTCTTCTGTGAGGAGTGATATACAAACAGAGATACTGAAGAAAAGAGGACAAGGAAACGAGATAAAATCACAAAACCGTTTAATTGTCGGCGACAAAAGCTTCATTATGAAGCTTCGTTATGAAGATGTAAAATGTATAGACATGGATGTAAAACCGACGAGGGAAATGAATTAGATGCGCTACGAATTGACTCACTCGCCAAAATTGATGTGTACTTGGTAAAACTTTTGAAGCTGCACGAAACGCTCGCAGCTTTATCTTATCGCGCGTTTGAGAATTTTCGAATCAAAAGAAGTGAGAAAAATATTTTATTTAACGAATGAAAGTTGCAAACGACAACGATAGTTGGGAAGGATTAACTCGGGATAGTGAGAATACGAGACACGTAGAGGGGAAAGAAGAGAACCGAAAAAGAAGAGGAAGAGGTAAGGCGAAGAAAATGTTGCGGCAAAACTTCCTCTTTACGAAACTTTTGTTTCCACGCTTCCGTTTGCGTCTTTTTTCTTTCTCTTCGTCGAGATTCATGACCAGTGGCGTGTTAAAATAAGAGTCGCATGTGCAGGAAAAAAAGAAGAAAAGAAACCTATCACCACCCTTGTATTTTGCGCGCGGACAGCCGCGCTTAATTCGCGCACAGATGTGTTACTGAAGAAACCAACAAGAAAATCCGCGCGGATCTTTTTCCTTTGCACAGGTCCGACAAGAATAATAATTTAAAGCCGACAAGGAGATATAAAGCGGAAGTTCCTCCGGTTGTTAGCTCCGAAAATAACCGAGCGGCCTGAAACTTGCGGAATTCATTGTCCAAATCCGCTTTACCGTTCGTTTTACCGCTCGATATTTTGTACGTTCTTGTTGCAGTCGGTGCAGATTATGTGAAGTAGCGATGAGTGCGCAAGTAGAATGTGTGTGCAATAAATTTTTTTAGAAATATTTTGCAGTAAAAATATACGCGCAGAAATGTGTGAAAATAACATGTAAATGTTTTTTACTTCCAATTTGATGCTTTCCTAAAGGATTTCATGTTAGCATTTTGTCAACGGAGATATAATCAACTCAGTTTTCCGAGAATAATGTTCAATGAAGCACGTCAAATTGCTGTACGTATACATAAATCACAATATATAAATTTAACTAAATCTCATGTACGAAAATCCGTTACATATATCAATTAAATGACTTCCGATCGCGCATTAATCTTTTAACGCGAAAAAACTCGATATCACATCCGGCATGATTCTGTAATGATGCAAATGTCAATTTTTCATCGCGAAACTTTATCGGTGGATTCACATCGTAATTAATTAACTGAATATTGATGGAGAGCGTACGCGATTTATCATGATTTGTTTGAAGCCGATCTGCAAGTCGCAAATTAGTTTTCTGATGCTAATAAAACGCAGTAAGTCAAATTTAAAAAGCAGATAATAGCGAAAATTTCATCAAAATTTAATAATTTAATCTCTGATCAGAAAAAGTACATATTCAATAATATTGTACAATTTTTTTTTTCATGTAAAGAGAGAAATCAATCTTATATTAAGATAGTGAATTATACAATGTGTACTTAACTACGTGAAGCCAGAGAGTACTCTTGGCATATACTGAATAATGAATTCTCAATGAGAGCAACTTGCGTTTTAATTAACGAAGTCGGAGTATTATTAATTTCTGCAAATTAAATTAGAAAGTGATATTGCGAGAAAAATCGTACGGTCAGTTTTTCTAAGTTTAATTTCGCGGAAACATTAAGCTCTTCGATCTCGTGCAGCCGTTCAACCGGAAATTGAAAAAGTTGTAGCACGCTTTTATAGATATATATATATATATATATATATATATGTAGGTAATATATCTCCGAGTGATGTCCGAATTGTCAAATCGCGCCGAGATTCACAATCAATTTCCTGTCTCTCGAATGTCAATGAAGCTCAGGCTAAATGACACCGTCGTATTCATGACTTGTCGAATTCCTGCTGTTGCACCGTCCAAGCAGCAATGACCGCGCAAATCCTTCCGTAATGCAATGCGATGCATGAGCCGTGAGTATATACAGAATACGGTATTGTTAGCTACGAACAAAAGCGCGTGGATATATAGAGTTTCTTGCGTCTCTAGTTTATGAGCCAGGTGTGTAAAGCCGTAGCTAAACGCGCCTGTAAAGACGATGAATAGTTCCACCGCCGTTAAACGATCCACTTAATCTTTCGAATTATGTGCTCGTGTTATGCGATATGTCTCGGCCGAGAGCATGTTAACTTGTGCGATATATAATTCTATTACAATGAGTGCGAATGTAAGAGTTAGTTTTCTCAAATGCGATAAATCTATCGCGTGTGTATATGGAAAAAAAAATTGTAACTGTGTTTCATATGAACTCCACTATCTTTCACTCTGGATTTTACCGAATTTATTTTTTATCTGAATTTTAGAGCTATCGGCGGCGCGATATTGGTGCTAATGATCTGCGCGACGGTGTACGAATACAGAACGTTCCCCCACGTAAAGGACGTCGAGTCGTCGTCAAGCGTGTCGAATAACAACGACAAAACCAGCGACTGCGTGGACAAAAATCTGAATCAAGATCGCAGGATCTCAATAGGACAGGAAAACGGTCAGGAGCTTATCGAGAAGGGCGCGAAGCAGTTGCAAAAAGAGAATCCCATTCAGAAGAAAGATTGCGACGAAGGTTCATTGAACGTATTATACATCTGAGATGCTTTTGTCGGCGTTTCTTTTTGTGCGTCCAGATATCCTTTAGATTCTTCAACACCGACTCTCACGGTCATCGATTTTTCAGGATTCTGGTTGAGGTGCTTGCTCGCGTTCAGCCCTATCGTTAACGGAAGTAAGATCATTAGCACGGAGCCCGCGGCCAAAGATAGTCTAACCTGTCTTCACGGCCTTCGAGTATTCTCGCTAGGATGGGTCGTCATGGTGCATACGTATCTCCAGGTTTTCTCCATTGCCGGTAATTTTGCGAGAGTTACAAACACACACACACACACACTCACTTATATATGCATGCACGTACACACGTACGCACAAAGCTCTCTCTAAAATGAACGTCCACCGAGTTCAAGTATAAAAGATAGTGTAGAAAATTACATCGCCCATTAGCAATATTCCAAGCTAATTGAATCGCTCTACTTTCTATAAATATCTTTTGATGCAATTAATAGGCGTAATCTAATATGATGCAATAGGATGTATCTATATCGGGTTCTCTGATTGGCGATAATTTCGAGATTCTCCTCCGGGTTTACACGTGCTCGCTTTCACCGCGGCAATCCTCGCGATTGATCGTTTCCTCATTACATTTTACAGAGAACAAGACACTGCGAACGGTTACGGAGAGGAATTTCATGTTCCAGACCATCAGCAACGCGACGTTTTCCGTGGACACTTTCTTTTTTATCAGGTAAGAGAACGAGCGATACGTACGATAACAGATGTTTAATTTAATGAAAACGCGGTGATTTTTAACGGAATATTCTGACACACAGCGGCCTGTTGGTGACTATACTTTTCTATCGATCCATGAGCAATTTTAACAACGAGAAAGGCAACTTCTTAAAGACGAGTTGCACCAAGTTTGTTATCATGATTCTGTATCGATTCATCAGGTACGTTTCAATCGTGACGTAATGTGAATCTTGCGCGACGGTTACGTAATGACCCAATTTTTGAAGCAAAAAAATAGTTGCGTAACTAAAGTAATAAGAATATTATGTAAATTAAATATTTGGGTAATACAATATGTTTCAACTCTCTTTTTCTCTTTCTCTTTCTCTCTCTCTCTCTTTCTCTCTCTCTCTTTCTTTCTCTTTTTCTCTCTTTCTCTGAGATCACACTCCAGCTTTCTTTTCATAAAGATTAACACCGGCTTATCTCTTTGTACTGGGAATGAACGAAATCGCCATAAAGCAAGCTCAGGCTAAGACTGTCTTTTCACCTGGTATCATCGATCACTTGACCTGTGAAAAGTTCTGGTGGCGAAACGCGCTCTATTTGAATTCCCTGTATCCGCGCACGGAAATGGTAAGATGATTTATGTACCACTTATCCTAACATGTTTTTTTCCCTTACTGTGTCTTGTATAAGTGGAGGTTTTCAACGAAATATATAAAACCTTCTTGCACATAGTATGTACATATATATATATATATATATACATACTTATTTTGTAACAGCATCTGCTGTAAATGTAAAAGAACTAAAATGTAACTCAGGAAGAGGAGCACCGCGGTGTGTTGTTTTGCCGTGAAGAAATGTGGCAAATTTCAAACCAACTGAAAAAGAGGAAAATAATTTAACATCGCTTTTTAAAACATTAAAAGAGAAAATATTGCTTCGCGAATATCGGATTATTAGAGATAATAAAGCGCGAGTGCAGCTTTACGTAAAAAAAAAAAAAAAAGAAAGAAAACAAAGTCTATGTCTTCATTACGAGCAAGTAATGAGCGAGAAGACCGTCGGAATCAGGTTTCACATTAAAAGCGACGTGTTCAATGCGTCTTTTTTTTCTCAGGTGCGAATTTTCCTCACGAGTTTTTCTTACACCACGCAAAGGACTTTTGCAATCGCGCTCCGTGTATCCGCCGCAGGGCCAATTAATTCGCGCACTATTACACATTAATAATTACTTTCTAGTGCATGCTGTGGAGCTGGTATATGGCCAACGACACGCAGTTCTACGTCCTTGGTATATTTCTTCTTTTGCTTTCCGTAAAATATCTCAAGACCGTGGCCGTCGTCGTCTCGCTGCTGATCGTCTCCTCGTGGTTCACCACGTTCTCCGTAGCCTACAGCAACGATTACGTAGCCAGGTAATCTTTCGATTATTATACGCTCGTTATTACTTCGCGCTCTTCCTCCGTGTCAAATCGGAAACAAATTCAATTGTAACGCTCATTAACAAATCTCGTCGGGAAAATCCTTGTGCCAACTTGTATCAACGAGGAGAATAATTTCGAAGTTATCGTTCACAGCCGTTTTGAGATAGAGAAAGAGAATACGCCGGTTTTAATCATTTGTTGAAGTGTCTGGTAGTTGCTTTCATCGAATAAAGTGCGATATGATTCTCTTTTTAAACTGGAAACTGAATGAATACCGCGAAAGAACAATGCAATAAGCAGGGTATCGGTCGGGAGCGCCACCGCTCCTAATTGAAAGCGGCAAGCTCTCATTTCACGTAGCTTTATGGCGCTCGCGTCGTCTATTATAGCACACGCTATGTGCACCGCGCACTCTGTACTTTGCATTATTCGCCTACCAATGCGAAAATTTCATCACGCGATATTGCGCGTGCACGCTTAATTCCATTTATCGACTCTCCTCTCCTTCTCCTCGCGCAGGATCCAAGAGCCGTTCGCTCTCTTCGACGAGCTCTACGACAAACCGTGGCTGAGAGCGGGTCCGTACTTCATCGGCACGATTACCGGATACATCCTCTTCAAAACGAAATGCCAGTTGAAGCTACCAGTGGTGAGAACGCGCCCCAAAGTTTATTTCGATTATTGAGTTAATTAATTAAGCGCGAGCTTTGCGTATTGTTACATCTCTCGCGTATCGCGCAAATGCAATAATGCGAATTTGCTAAAACAGATAATAATAATCAACAACATTCCAAATATATATACATACCTCGAATACATGGCAACGACGCGCGAATAATTGGATGAAATAATTATGCAAAATAAATGGCCTGATGCAATTAATTTACATAAATATACATTAACGAGAAGAAAATCTGCCGCGTGTACGTGTTGTGGACCGCGGGATCTTTTCATGCGCGTATTAGCGTAAAATTGCTTTGTACGGGGAATTAAATCGATCTTAAATTCCCCTCAGGGTGCGAAACTGATCGGCTGGATACTGTCCGCGACGATCATGTTTTCGGTGGTATATGGATTGTACCCCGGAAATTTGACGGTGCTAGTGAGCTCCGTATACGCCGCCTTGGGTCACACCGCGTGGACGATAGCTGTCGCTTTTATCGTGATTCAATGCTGCACCGGGTCGGCACGAATGATCGACAGTTTGCTCTCGCTCCGACTAATGTATCCGCTTTCGAGGCTCACCTATTGCGCCTATCTGGTACATCCCGTTATCATGATGGTCACGTGTAACCACATGGACGGGCCGCTACATCTCCACAATGGGATTGTGGTAAGATAAAAAATGAATTGTTCCGAGTGCGAAATTAGAGTCACACAATTTTCATACTTTAAAAAAAAAAAATTTACTATAAAACTCTAATTCATGCGAGTTATTTTTTTATAAATTATTCTTTTTTCTATCTGCCTGTATGATATTCATACTTGTTACTACACAGATTTCTAACACGAGAACCTTTTAAGAGATTATACATCGATTTTTTTTCGCAGCTTATTGTCTATTTTGGTAACCTGGTAGCCTCGTATCTGCTATCGTTCTGTATTTCTCTCGCTTTCGAGGCACCGGTGGTGAATTTATTGAAAATCGCGTTCACCTCGAAGAAGAGAGGGAGGTAGAGATTACTTGTCTGATAAAAGGACAAATGCGATTACCCAGCGCGGTGAGTATATTAGAAAGTTATGCAAGAGCAAGTTATCAGATCGATCGTCACCGTATATACACGCGCACTTCGCTTATTGCACACGTGCGATAATTACAGAAATTAAGAAATTCGCTATTTGATACAACGCGCAACAATATTTTCAATAATCCTACCAGAAAAAGCGTGTGCAAATAATCAGAATCGATTCTATCGATCTTGATTGTTGCCTCTTTTCCGCGTTGCCGATTGGTTAGTTGGTTGATCAAGTCGAATCGAATCGGTAAGATCGAGAGAGTAATTAATGAAAAGCTATTTTGAGACAGGTCGTCGTATATGTAGAGAAAATTAAAAACGTAACCAAAATTACGTGATAGGAAAGAGTAGAAAAACAACACGTGAAAATAACGTGACTGTAATTTATATTATATATAACATTAAATAATACGTATTATACATATATAAATTATTATATATTTATAATATTATACTTTATGTTGTATTATATACATACTACAGTAATGTCACTGACCTCGGGCGCGCGGCCTTGGCGGGGGGGAGTCACTGACCTCGGTCGCGCGACTGCGGCGGGGTCAATGACCTCGGTCGCGCGACTGCGGCGGGGTCAATGACCTCGGTCGCGCGACTGCGGTGGAGTCACTGACCTCGGCCGCGCGACCGCGGCGGTGTTACTGACTTCGGTCACGTGATTACGGTATATACATATATATACACATATATGCGTATGTGTGTGTATTATATATAGATATAGAATATTACATATAATATATATAATATTCTCTTTTTTACCCTTTTTCCTGTCACGTGACTTTAGTCACGTTTTGTTTTTCCACTTCTCTCTTACTATTTTTTGAGTTTGATTTTCATGCGTTATTTCTGACATTTCTCATATGTGTATTATATAGTTTATAAGACGTATATGCGGTGACAGATTGTGTTCACTGACAACACGTTAAATAAAAATAACAATAGCGTGCGCGTAGCGCGCGCCTGTGTTGTGCTAGTAATAGTATTAAAAGAAGCAATCAATTTATCGTAAAGGTAGAGACAAATAAAACTGACAATATTAATCTTTATCGACACGCCGATGTTTTTTTTTTTTTATAGGTAACGACGTTGTCTCGAAATCTCCGCACCCCAAACCGAAGGAAGATGAGAATCACTGAACACTTTTTACACAGGACGTGTATGCGTGACTATAAATCACCGATATTCGCAGTTCGTGATAATGTCGTGAAAATTCGGTGATAATTCATCGCACGAAACAGGTCTCAATTTCCTACAGTTACAGTTCTTTTTCCCCAAAATCTAGGAAAGCCTAAATTTCACTCATATAAATCAACTTGTCTATTAACGAGAATAAGATACTAAACAGCCGTGTTTCAAAGTGTCGCGATCAATTATCTCGCGAACAAAACAATGCGGTTGACGCGATTCAGATGAGATATTTGAAAATAACTGATAAAGAAATCTTTAAAAGCGCGCTCTTCCGGAGAGGTATTGATTTTGTTTTCAATCGAAGATAATAATTTCTCGAGACCGGTGACAATTTCGTTTCGCAGCTCTCGCAAATACATTCGAAAGCCGCGAACTGTCCGAGCAAGTAGATTGTCTCTTTCTCGATAACGTGTTAAATAGCATCTAGCAGTGCAATAATCGCGCGCATTTATTTACGTAATAGACAAACGTTCCCTGAAACGTAACGGAGCGTAAATCGCTGGTTATGGAATATAAAGTCATAATAGCGTGTGTGTTCGGAATTTTTCGCTTGAGGTTTATATCCGCGAATTTATCATGTCGCGTGTGAATGAGGGGAAACCTATGTATTATACATAGTAGCCATAATGTGACGGTATAAATAGCAATAAAACAACGCACAAGCATGCAGCATGTAGAATAATACACATATACATAAATATATATACCTGCCTATTGTAATAAGATAATGTAATTTTCTTGTATAAAAAAAATAAAAAGAAACAGGCTACACAGACGAATAAAACTTTGTAGTGTTTTTACCGCGCATTTGGCGGAACGTATTGTTAAGCGATGTAATAAATTCGGTCGCGAGAACAGCGTGAAGAGTTGAAAAGAAGAAAAGCGTGTATGACACGTTCGTTTTAAATTTATATGCACAGTCAACGATCCATTAACTAAAAAAAAAAAAAGAAACGGAAAATATTTTGATATAAAAAGAAGCACATGGTGAAAAAACGTATTACCCTATCCTTCCCGCATACGTGTCATTCATATGGAATGTTTCGTATTCGAAACAATTTATTTACGTTAGTGCGATAGTGTGGTCTAGGCTATTCTTTTTCATTTTATTATACGTTTTATATACGAATGCTTTATTTCTACCAAAAACTATTTTAACCCCTTGACAGCAAAAGCGAAAAAAAAACACTCCGAATTTTTATTGCGAGTTTATTTTTTGCGAAACATTTTGCAACTTTTAACGTGTAATTAAAGAGCCGAAATTCTATGGATGAAAAAAAATTGATCCTGAGTTTGTTCGGCAAAAGAGTAATAGTTTGTTAGATTAGTATATAATTATTTTTTCTGCAGAAAAATTATACCGAGAAAAATTAGAAATTTATTATAAAAATAGTTTCGTGGCTAATAAAATACTAAGACATTTATTTGACACCACGGTACGAGGGCGTGCATCTCTTTTCCTGAGGTCGTTACGGCGAGACTTCATTTGTCACTCTGCGTTCCATATTCTCGGTTTGAAATAAATGCGCGGTTGCTCATCAATGGTTTCGTAGTATGTTTAGACACACAAAAACCTGCTTTCCTTTTAGTAAGTAATCATAAAGCGATGCGTGACGTGAAAAGAGGCGCATGTTGCAAATTGATTTTCGATGCTCAGCAGGCGTCTCTTTGGATGTGACGACACTGCGGCGTTCTGAAAGCGTTATCTTTTCGCAACAGACGCGTGAAATAATTTCAAAGTTCCGTCAAGAATGCAACCGTATGTCATCAGAAAGCAGTGACACAGCTAACAATGAAACATGAAGACAAAGATGAACATAAAGATTCTCGAAAAATATTCTTTACGCAAAACCAGATTATAATCGAATAAAAAACTGTAAAAAAAAACACTGTATGTGTAAAAGTAAAATTTTTCCTCAACTTTGATTTAATTAAAAAGACAATACTTCGTCGATCAAATGCTTAAATATCATGTCAGTCATTTGACTTTATGACAGATAAACGTGTATAAAAATCCAGAGAGTGAAAACACATTGTGTATTTTTATTATTTTCACTTAGATAAAAATTAAGTTCTTATATTGCATATACATAGAATATATATATATGTTAATATCTGTAGAGTTCGCACAAATGTTCGCGCAGATGTTTCATCTAATAAAAAACAAAACCGAGCTACACACCGCACGATGTCACGGACAAAATCATATCTTCCAATGATTTTTCCCATTTCTGCACGGTGAGCAAATTTCAAGTTATCTCAACTTTATTCTGTCCGTGCCACAGTTATTGCCACATGTATGTATATGTGTGTGGACTAACAGCGCGGAAGAAAAATAGAAAATAATAGGACAGCAAACATTTGTAAAACGTTTAGCGACATCATATCATGATGTGCCGAGCAAATATGAACTATGAAAAAAATTCACAACGCTCACACACTTACACGATATCGTCAGAAATTGAATTGTCGAGCTCACATTTTTGCAGAATTCCATAATAGCGAAATATTACTCGTTTCATTTCAATACTATTCCAATAAAAAGGTTAATATCTCGTTTCTCCTTATCAATATTTCCTAAACAAAAAAAATAGCAGAAATAGCAGATCGGCATATCGACGGAGATCAACTATGATATTAGTCGGTGGAATCCTAATTAATTAACGCGATATAAAGGATCTGCATGCCGCCCCGTTTGGGTAGGGTGTTCGGAACGGATCGTTCAACGCATATATACGAGATAAACCCGCGCTCGATTGTAATAAAATTTATGTAGACGTGAAATTAGAGCCGTTCGTTACGATAGCGACTGAGATTAACAGTAACTTTTTTTGTCGAGCTTTATATGGTGGTGTTTTAAAGTTTACTCGAGATAAACGTAACAAATTGCACGTTAATTAAAATATCACCGGTTGCATCTACTAAAGAGGTAACACGACATTTAAACGGCGAGTGCTGAAAATGTCCCGCTCGAACGATATAGTTTCGTAGCGCGATAAATCTTAAGCTGACCACCTAGTCTAGATATTCACCATCTGGCGTACGACACAGATACGCATACGAGAAAATTGCTGCGGGAATTAAAGTCTCTTTTTCAGATCGATATCCGTCCCAAGGCACAAATGATTTTGTAGGTATCATTTTATACCCATCGTATATATAAAATTCTAATATAGAATTTCTAATATTATCATATATATATATATATATATATATATATATATCGTATAATTCATTTTGTTTGTTTATTACGATTTTGTTCGAATAATCTCTTGCAAATTTGAAATACGTCAAAGTGAAATACTTGTATTTACAATGTATGATGTTGCTCGTTATTTTAGCATAGAAAGCTCGCATTAAAGTTCCCTGCTATTTAGCACATACACACATCCGGTACACACAGTCGAAGATTGCTCGTCTGTTTGCCGTGATTTCGTGGCCGCAGAATGTAGCAGCGACGGCCTCTATATGCGCACTATCGCAGTAACAGTTCTCTATATATACACATAGAGAACGAGGAAACGTCGGATGTGGTTATGGATGTGTCTCGCATAGTATGTGAACACCGTCGGATTAAATCCACAACATAACTGAGCAAAGACACATGCGCGAACAACGCGGTCGCACGCTGAATATCTCATTAAGAAAATCGATATCATTTTAATCGTATCTTTTGCCGAGGCCGGATGAAAACATTTGACGTAAATTAAACGGACAAACCGCGTCGTTTAATCGTTCCGATCGAAAACCTAGATTAAAAGTTTAATTAAAAGTAACACTCGTGCTTTTCGTCGCGTATGTGTGGCGTTCGTACATATTTTAAATACTAAATACAATTACACAAGTTCTCGAGGGAATTTCCGGATAAATAAAGGATCGTGTACAATTGAAGTAACACATGTACACAGATCTCACGATCGGGGAAGAAAAAACAAAAGTTGCGAGAAATTTTCAATAAAACAAAATATATATATTTTTTTTTTCTCGCGAACGTGTGCAAACGAAAAAGATCGTCAATTTTTTAATTGAGTTTTCCGAAGCTCTTTCCGAGTTTAATTTCAAATATCGTTAATGCGAGAGTTCGATTTTCTACAAACAAAAAACACGAAAGTGGAAAAATGGCTTCGAGAATATCACGAAATGCGTATAAACGTGTAAAAGCCACGTAGCGTCGGGATAGGTGAATTTTGTATACAAAAGCGCCTATTCACAACGTGTAATGTGCTTTCAATCGCGCGTTCATCGTTTAAACGATATTTCGATAAATCTATTGTCAATATTATATTCATATTATCGTTATCGGCGCGAATCTTTGAATCAAATATCATTAAATTAAAAGTACCTTCATATATTGAATATGTACAATATATATACAATATTTTAATAAATATAAAATTTCGACTTGTTTTACATATTTTTTAAATATTTAATTATCATTTTTAATTTCACAAGAATCAATAATGCATTATAAGACTGTTGAGTCGCGATGTGTCGAGGCAGTAATAAAATTCTGCACCGCGAAATAATTAAAAAGAGAGCGCGATATCTCATTCTACTTCGTAATCGGAGTGCATGCACACTTACACAGTTGTACTCATAAGCTTTCCGCATTCACTTTGATGAATGTGTCCGTCTGCATTCTTAACCGGGCTTAACGTAACCTACTTCCGGCCGGCACAGCTTCCTTGCAATTAGCAGAGGCTGAGCTGCATCTCGTGCGCGTCCCAATGACACACACACAGCTCCTCTTTAAGGAGGAATTTTCGCGTAAACAGATTTCTCTCGTTGCCGTTAATATACATATAAGTACATTTACTCCCGCGAGCACGTTTTTCTAACCACATTTCCATCTATTTCCGTTCGAAGTGCAGAAATTCGTTGCAAAATTAATGCATCGAACTTCCACTGTGACATAATCGAGTTTCCCGAATGTATAGAATCGACTTCCACCGCGCGCGGGTTATTCATGAGTCGTAAGCAGACTGTGCGTGTATATATATGTAGTGTTGCTTCCGATATCTCGCGGTAGAGTCTAAATTTATTGGTAAAATCGACCGAGGATTTCTACGGAGGTCACAACTTTTTTTTAGAATTCGATAGAACGTGCAATGTCCTTCGGGATATACATACAACGCGAGCTTGATTAATTGTTATAACTGCATATCAAAGGACATGCATAAATCCCACAAGTTTTGAAAGATACAGGGAGCACCACCTTCCCTGTGGCTTTATTTACAATTGATGGGATTTTAGATAGTTTTCGACGATAAATTAATATACGTACAATATCATCAATCTCTGTGCCCTGTACGTAAGTATCTGTGCTATATCATGGGATTAATCAGTATTAATGTAGGTACAGCAAAACTTCGAGTTCAGATTGTTCTGGTTTGCTCAGTGTTTTGGTTTATATAATCATCCTGGAAAATCACTGATTATACGAAAGAAACGATTCAATCCTTTTTGTAACATAAAAAAACTTTTTAATATAAAATTTATTGCGCGTGTATTTGCAACAAATAATCATCATTATTTGCAAATCTCGTGTAATCTGATAAATCGCAATTTATCTTGAGTCCAATTTCAAATGTTATTAAAAAGAAATCTGTTTTCGTCAAAAATACTTGCACAATGTTTTGTGATGATTGCGGGAGGATTAAAACATTTCCTAATAATATGCACACGTATAATTATTACACACTTTATAAACATAAAATTTTATAAAATTTCAACTGTGATGTGAAACAATTTTATGTATTTGATGCATTAAAATCTCATCCAGGTATCTACACACAGTGGCACATGCGCGGATAACAAGACGCGCGAGGTAACCGCGTTTTCGGTCAGTCGGCTGAGAGCCGTCGAGAAACTCGAATCTTGCATGTGAATTTTGGTGCTCGTGCTACGCACGCATAAGGACTGCGCGAACTTGTCGTCAGAAGCTAACAGAAATCGCATCTGAAATCTACGCGTAAGAATCACGTACGTTTCGTGTTGCGACCGACAAAAATCAATGACGAAATTACGTTCTTGCTGAATGCCCGACTAGAACAGAGAAATTCTGAAACGTAAAAATAACACCCCCGAATTTTCTTACACGTGGAAAATTTGCATGTTATAATTGGGCGTCGTGATTAATCGTGGAGTCCGAAACGAGAAAAGACCCGACGAAAAGTTCGGTTGTGCGAAGAAATCGCCAAAAATTAAAGACGTACGTGACTTGATGAAAATTGAGACCAATGAATCCCTCGCTAGTGAGTTTTCAGAAATACGTTAGCGTGTTAGTGACAGAGTAGAATCGATTTTTAAGTGTTTCTGACTCTCTTCGTCTTTTACTTGTCAACGTTCGAATCGAAATTAAAAATACATATATTTAATGGAAGTGTGTGTATATGCAAAAAAGATAACAATTAACGTGTGACACAGAGAAATACAGATAGTTCAACTGTTGATAGTTTATATACAACTAATGTGATTATAAAATTTATATTAAATGTATAAATAAAAACTAAAAATCTCAATCGAAAGTTTCTCAATTTTCAACTTTCAAGAGCTGCTGATAGCATTTTGAATTGTTTACATCCGTAATTGAAAATAACTTTTGCGTATAGGATAATGTGCAAACATAGATAATCGCAAACTGCTTTATTATGCAAAGCTTTTGAATTTTGATTGAAAGTAAAATCTGATACAATCTATTGCAATGTAAATATTTGTAATTGCAATTAACACGTTAAGCATTAATCAAAGTGCTAAATGTGTTCGGTAAAGATACAATTACTTTGACGGAAGTTAGTGTGCATGAAGGGTTAATGGTCTCGTGACCCACCAATTAGAACAACGGGAGAAGTTAAGCCGAGCATGAACAAGAAGAGGTTCGACGTTACGACTGTCCGGAAAATTTTCATACGGCTTACATCACGAGAATTTTGCTTCCTGTGAATTAACTCCCAGGTACGTTGATTGGCTGTGGCCCCGTTTCTAGCATCCGTTGTGTGCCAAAATTGTAATGTCCCCGGGATATTTGTCTCACCGTGATTTATAACACGTTGGACGATTAATATGTGGGCACGAGGCGAGAAAATAAAATGATTAACCGATCCACAATCGACACGCGACACGTTGTGGCGACATCAACTTTGATGTTACAGAATAGTCATTACAAATTCGCAGCTGTATAAATTCGGTTCCACAACTTTTTAACATTGTTAATGTCAGCATCAGATATGCTTGATTTATTTCACAAGAGTAATACGCACTCCGCGTAACGCGATATGTGTCAAATTTTAAAATTAAATTATCCAGTTGCGTCACACGCAAGTCATATTTTTGAAATGTAAATTATTATTATTATTTTTTTTTTGAGTTTACATAATATTTAAATTCTGCCCTTTCTTTGTGTATATTTTTTCTCAGATTCTCTTACAAATTAAAAATATAAATTCGACTAAAATATTCATTAAATCTCTTCTTCTTTGAATTTGCTCCTTTTTGAAAGAAAACGTTGAATTATTCGTGCCCAAATATATTCTTCGCGAACGGGATCGCGCGCGCGACTTTGTGTTTGTCTCGTTATCCAAAAATCCCTTCAATTGTGCGAGTTCTCTGTTCTCGCATCTCTCACAGTGTGACGTATCGACTTTCGATACGCGCGCCCATTGCTGATTCACGGTTGCGAATGGTTCCGACGTTCGGGCCTTTACTCCAAGCTCGCAGTATTAGCCTACGTCACGCATGTTATGACACATAATAAAGCGAGATAAAGAAAGAACACATTGCATCTCGTTTTTTCAGATCGAAAAATTGCTTTTTTATTCAGAAGTATCGCTTTTCTGTTTTGTTTGAAGACGGTATAATATTTTCTCAATGCTGCGTGCACATCCGTCAATGTTGTTTCGGTATAACATTTTTCTCTCGAAGAAGAAGAACGAGATTATCTGGATGTGCATAGTGTATCGCGGATCGCGACACAAAGTATATATTAGTATAATGTATACAAGATATATCGTAAATGACAGTTTCATAAGCTGCTGAGTTCTTACGTGGCCCGAGCTCTCTGTAAGAAAATATTATCCGGTGCTATTATATATATAATGACGATATTATGTTTTACCTGATATAATTACTCTCTCAGCAAAATGTAGCGGTGAACGCGTTATTTCTTACATTTTTTATAAGCGGGAGTTACACTCGACGCCGAGGCAATATGTTATAACAATCGTTAAAAGAAAGTGAAATAATTATAACAGATATATTGTCGTTGATAAAAATTGAGCCTAATTACGAGCAATAAACTTCGAAAATGCAATATTGGTCCACTCTTGTTGGTAGCTTTTTTTCTTGTTTTAAATTTCCCCATCACGCTGTTGCGGTGAAAGATTGCACGAGCGCGCGCGAGAAATAAATTTTTAAACCACATTTTCTGTACAAAAGTACATAAATTTCGATCGTAACTAAATAACAGACATCTTGTTCTAAAGAATAATCAGATACAAAGAAAAATGTCATTTTTCCGTTTCACATTAAGCAAGATAAATAAAACTGATGCATTATTATATTTGATCCGTAGTCTAATGTATAGTAATATTTGAATATGGAAATGCATATCACATACTATATGGAAATTAGCACAGCGACCTAGTTTATGTGCTCAGGCAACATTAGTTTCGACCAAACGACGCTTATGTTGATAATAAATGTGCGTATATAAAATATCAAGAAATAAATATAATATAAACTACATATATATATATACATATGTGTGTGTGTGTGTGTGTAATTAAAAGCGCAGGATTTTCCACATGTGTTTTAATAAAAATGTTTAGTATATTATCTTGCTCATAAATTATTTATTTTTTTTATATATGATACCGACAAAAACACGGTATATATTTCAAAATAAAAAAAAGCCGTCGCAAAACTAATTAAAAAAAACAAAAAAAACAAATCGAGTCTCCCCGATATTCTTTTGCAATAAAATCCTCCTCCTTTTTTCTCTGTTTTTTTTTTTTATCGTTCTATAGTGTAATTCAATACACGAAGCAACGACGGCCTGCAGCAGGTTGTTTTTTGCTTTCAACGTAGAGCCGAAACTTTCATCGCGCAATAAACGTGTTATTCGTTAGATCCGGCCGGAAAGCGAATTGAAACACGAACGTCAGACGTAAAATTGTTCGTGTTTGAGGAGGAACGACACGATACCCGCGAGGGGTGTGATACTCCAATTCAAGATTCAAGTTTCGCGTCTCGTTAACCCCCCGTGACTCGCTCGTGCGATCAATTTCAGATGGAATTTCATCTGCAGGAAAGTCAGACGAAAACTTCAAGGAAACTAATACAAAGCATCGCGCTCGATATATGTATATAACTAACAAAAACAAAAACTCGGCACGAAAACATCGTTTATAAAGTTCTCATATTATATTTACATTCTTGCAGTTGTGTGTATTTGGTTGCCAAGAACTTTCTGTTGCTTCCAACACTTCTCGCACTAGTACAATAAATAAAATGTATGTACAATACGCGACAAAAAAAGAGAGAAAGAGAATTTCGTGCTTGGCAAGGAAGTCACAGCGTAAAACTCAAAGATATGATTCTTGGCAAAATTCGACAAGAAGAACGTCGGAAATACAATATTTCTTACGTTTAAATATATTTTATATATTTTTTTTTATAAATCAATCTACAATTTATGTGCATGGAAAGATACAATATACGTTTGTACAGATAGTGTTTTCTTTTTTGTACAAATTCAGGTTGTTGTTTATTTGGAGTTTTTTTTTTATACTTTACTGTTTACACACAATTCTCTAGTTTGATAGTGTTATTACGTAAAACTCTCGGCGAGAATAGTGGAACTTTTATTACGTTACCGTGTGTGCGTGGAATTTCTTTTTCTCTTTCTCTTTCAATTTTATATCGCATTGTTTTTTTTAACATGCGTCACAGAAAACTTCCTTTATTGGAAACTTCCGTAAGTGTAATAACAAAAAGTATACAAGCGGCGTATGCATATATACTAATATATATACATATAATTTATTCACCTTAGAGTTTTAATTACGATTTTATGTAAGTTAAAACGCGCATTACGTGAGTACCTGCATGCAGTTTCACTTATGACTTAATAAAACGCCTTAGAGTTTATTTCTGAGAAAGATGATAAGAGTCATCATTACAACACGTAATTAGACTATTCATTATAAGGCGTAGGGAAAAGTTTTATGGAATAATTATACACGCGCAACACACACGCAACGTGTTTTTCATCTTCGTTCTCATGTTCATCATTTTGGAAAAAATATCGTTACTTATTATTAAAACGAGTTCTTATCGTGCGGAACGGTTCATTAGATGCTTGAACGTAACGAGATCGCGCGAGTTTTATGTGCGAAATGACCTATGCTCGAAAGAAGAACCAATTTGTATACAATTACATGGTTTTTTCTCCGATCACAACAATATATTCATGAAATATCCTACGTAATATCTTCAATAATGTATTACATACACGTATCCTGTCAAATCACAATATAATTTAAAACTTATCTTAAAATCCGAATACGTTCGGAACGCGTTCGATATAACGTTGCTCGAGAATTTATTCAGCTGTCTATATAGTCATCAGCGATGAGAAATCCGTTTTCACCGAGAAAATTATTCTTTTACAACGCGTTTTGCGCGGTACCTACTATCTTTTAGGTAAATCTTCCGACTCGACGCGGATCAAACTTTCAAACGGGGCTTTCTCCTCGTTGGAAGCGACGGATAAAGCGACAGATTGTTTTGCAACAAATTACGATGTAACCAATCGGCGTGACTCGTCTGCGAAGCTTGTGCGAAATTGCTAGTCGTCGTCGACTGAGAGATCGTGCGTGAGCAAGATGAGGCTAAAGTGTGTGCGAACGCGCAATCAAACGGAATTAAGACAAGAACCACATTTAATGCACTAACCGAGCAACTTCCGCGAAACTTTGTAACAATATCCAAAAGTATCCCGCATCGCAGCGGGAATAAAAAGTTCTTAGCGGTCTGCTACTTTTGCCACCGCTGGGATACTCGGCGTGCTTTCACATGAACCCGCGCGACCGCTAAAAGCACATCTAAACAATCTTTCGCAACTTGCACTTAACTCGTACGTGGTGCTCGCGTTTATGAGCGAACCTTTCACGGTTAAGACATAGCTTTTCGAGCAACTTCAATTACGTTTAATTCTGTTGTGTCTTTTCGAACTTTGTTGCCCGTAAAATTGAAATCTCTCTCTTTAATCAGTTACACGTGTATATATTTTTTTTTCACTGAAATAATAATAATAATGGGACGACAGAACACGACGTCCTTTCAAGTCTCTTTCTGAGACAAAACTGGTAATATATAGCCTAGAAACGTCCGGATGAAACGCCGTAATATGCAGTTCTAGAAAATTACGCAATTACACACAGTTCTCTCGCGATACCTCATATAGTTCAAAAGTTTCTCCAGAAGTGTAATCTCTGACCTAATCTTTAAAAGCGTGCGATTCGCACGAAATGAGAATGTTTTACCGCAGCCCAAAATCTTCTTACAGCACGCTATGCTTCAAACTTTGGCAATTAATCGATGTTATCAGCGTTGTATAAACTTCGGATTTTTACGAAATTCAAGCGAATAAATCTTCAGAAATATGATTTGCTTTAAAACAACTATTTAAAAAAAGAGAGAGAGAGAGAGAGAGAAATACACATTTTAAAAAGTATTTTACAAAAATGTGTATATCCTTTTTCGATACTTTCAGAATAGTTTTTTTTTTTTGTTCATAACGAAATTGAACGTAACAATTGTCGGATTTTCTCTTTGAATACCGCGTAAAAGCGCAAGAAATATCTGAAATACAAAATATGCATAAGCGAGGTTTGCGCGCAAGTAAAACATGGAAATAGAGTTGTCACAGCGACTGCTCCTTCAACGTGACGTCC